AAAGTATCTGATAGTATCAACTATCAATAGTATGCATCAAACTAATCCACTAATCACTATTCAGTATTCACTATACCATTGGTAGACGGAAAAAAAATCCCCGGAAAAAATGTCCTCAAAAAAAAGTACCTGTGAATAAAATCAAATAAAAAACTTAATTGAAACTAATTATTTAAGTAATTTGTAATTATTACTTTCATACAAGTTATACTATATATTGATTCAGTTTATATAAGTAATACTTTGTGTCGAACAGGAACTGATAACGATTTAAGTACTTATTCGATTTCGTCGACTTCCTCCTCGAATCTCTCCTCTAACGTGGAATGTGCACCGAAGTACCTTATTAAATAGTAGTAGAACCAACAACATCTGTGACGTATGGAATAATAAGTTCAGTCGTTTGGTTGGGTATAAAAAAATATGAAAAACGAGGTGATGGCTGATAAGCTAAATTAATATTGAGCGAAATTGAACAATTAACTTACAAACTATCACATATAGGATATATAATCCAGACTTAGCTAAAAAAATTATGCGAACAATTTACTAGGAGAGAATTAAGTATTGATGTATTCCTATCTAATATAGCCTATAGGTCAGGGGTCGGAAACCTTTTCATAGAAAAGAGCCATTTTTTCAAAAAATTAGTAATGATTAAATCTTTAAAAGACGTGAAATAATATGGAAACTAAGTAAAATGCCATTTTTGATTTTATAATATTATAAATACCTAAGATCAATATTTTAATGTTAAATACTTAGTCAACATATTGTTTATACAGTATTGATTATGAAAAATACTATAGTGGTTACTTATTTGTATTTATTTAAGTATATTTATACGTCTACCAAGTAGTTAAACAATATGTTGACTAAGTATTTAACATTAAAATATTGATCTTAGGTATTTGTAATATTATAAAATGACATTTTACATAGTTCCATATTATATCACGTCTTTTAAAGATTTAATCATTATTAATTTATTTTTTATTTTTTTTTGTTTTAGCTTTTTTTTTACACGGAGTTATAACGAAGTGTTTTTTGGAGATATTATATACACAATAAAACTAATTGTGCTATAAGTTTAATAAATAACAACGAAAACACTTCCGACCCATGTTATGGATAAAATATTGATTTATTTTTACCTGAAAATCGTTATTGAGAAATTCAGAATTATTATCATTATAATAACGTATAATATAATTTATATTTTACGGATATCGATATTATACTGATAATTATCCAAAAAACCACAGGTTGCACGTTAAAGAGCCGCAGGTTCCCGACCATTGCTATAGGTCATAATCATAGGCGTGCGTAGATCTGAATTTCGGGGGGTGCCTATAATTTTTTCGGGCCCTTTTCTTAATTTAGGTCCTCTCTCAACAAGACATGTACATATTTTAATAAATTATTATGCACGAATAAACATTATTTACATTATTTACATATTTTTATTAAATATTCTAATATAAAAATGATAAATGTATAATAAAATGCGCCTATTACTTAAATAATTAAACTTATTAATAACCAAATAATATTTGTATTACTTATTAATAAGTATTACTGGTACCAAGTTAAAATAGTTCATTAAATAGTTAGATCTAAAATCTAATTTTAAGATAATTGTAAAATATATTTATTATTTTTACTTTTGTAGTCAATAACATCTCATAGCTGTTATAATCACAATAAGTTTTACCGCACAAATTTAAAATATTTTATGTTGTATTATTTTTTTTTATCCCGAAATATAATTTTTTTTAACACATATTTTAGATAAAATAAAATTTTTATTCTAGTAATATAAGTTAAAATACAAACCCATAAATATGTTATAGGACTTAAATTTTAGGACACCATTTGTATGTCAGGGGTTGCCCAGGTACACCCGGAGCTCCCCGTGCGCACGCCTATGGTCATAATATAAGAATGAAATGCGATTTAATTTATAATTTGTATTTTTTGTAATTTATAATACATGACGATACCGTTTAGGTTAACATATAAATAAATAATAATATAACATGTAAAATGTTATTAATAAATCGAGTATTCATAAATTTGTTTTTACGTTTTATTCGGGGACTTTTTCCAGCAACCCTGCGCGCCATGCGGCGAAGTCTTATTCACTTCTATATATTTTTTAGTTACTTCTGTTGTGATGTGTATAATCGAATGATTATTATTTTAGTAATCGAGACATTTTCATCATCGAGAGAATCTCTCGAAAAATCACTCAAAATTAAAATTGTTTATTCATTTGATAAAAATAATTGATAATATTCAATAGGTACTGTAATGTTTATAAGTGTTTTAAATTAATGACATAAGATTTTTTATTTATTTTTTTTTTTATTATTAAATGTTTGTAATGTTTCGAATACAGTAATTAAATATTGTCCAAATTAAAATAAAATCACAGTTAACTAATAAAAAATATTTATATCAGCTCGTAATAATAATCAACAGAAAACTAATAAAATATACTTACTTATTATAAATCATAATAGTAAGTATAAAAGTATAATTAGTATTTTAAGAATAAAATTGAAATTTAAAAACAAATTTTAATTAGTATTTAAAAAAATTATACAATTTAAATTTTTCGGAGATCGCCAGTTTCAGCGATCATTGGTGATCACTGATCAGTCTCGTTTTTGAAAACACACGTTCTGATGGGACTGATGTAGCTGAAATACATAAATACTTCAGTTGTATATTAAATGAATTTAAAAAAGTGTGTTTGTGCTATTTCCAAAGTTTCAATGGATATTTTTCCCGATTTAAAAGTGTCATATCTAAATATTGACTTACCCATTATCAAAGTGGAAGTTATACTTGGACTCAATGTAATTTTGACCTGAACGACTTTATTATCAAAATGCTCCCCGAATAATTCCTCCCATAATAGACTATATGGTTAGTTGTTTGATTATTAGTTAACGATATTAACGATACTCGATAGTGCTGTGATAGATTCAGTTGAATTTACTAATTATTTCAGTGTTCATCATCTCTGTTAATTCATCGCCTATCCATTATTACGCATTATTTGCATTTTCAATTAATCCAAATGTAGTTTTTTAAACCGTGGGTCCAAAAATGTTGCTTTTGCATTTATTTTATTGTCCAAACCATTTACTAGCCAAATACATTAACGTATTTCTAAAAACATCTTCATTTTCCAATTACAGTTTCAGTTTCAGGTCCTATCAAAAGAACAAATATTAACAATATTATTATTCAACAACGTTAACACTTGTAAGCCTTTAATATGGAATGAGGGATACAAAGTGCATAATATTATAAAGACATGACGACAAATATTGATATACTGGACAGTATTAAACACCAGTGCAAAACTATAAAGAAAAGAAGTACAGGCCCAAGAAATTAAGTCATCAATTCAGAATAAAATCTTTGATATATGAATTTTTTATTATTTTTTTAAGCAATTTTAAATTATTATTCATATGTGATGAGTTCATTACTAAAACGCTCTTTAAAGATGCAAAAGAACAATTTACATTATTTTTGTTTTGTAAAAATAAAAAAAAAAAAAAATAATAACAAATCATTGCAAAATTTAAAAACAAGAATAGTTAAAACAATAATTATTTCTTCTTATTTCTTTTGTTTTGAAACCTATCCAATACACCAAAACGTTTTGACACTCTTGATTTTCCATCATCAATTTCATCTTTAGGTCGTGCATTTAGTGCTCTAACGAATTCCTGAAAAAAATAAAATAAAATAATTTGTTAGAAATTAATAAAATTTTAAATCCACTAATCAAAATTTAATATTTACCTTTGTTTTTTCTTCTAATATTTTTTCTTTTATTTTTGAAGGGTTAGCTAGGGTTTTTTTCTTAATTTTATTCTTTACTTTAATATTTATTTTCAGTGGTTTCACGGTCTAAATAAAAATAAAATCAATAGGTACATCATGTTAACATGTAATTTTGAGTTTTGATTTATAACATATTATAACTTTTACTCTTATAGCTATTGGTTTCACTTACTTGTAGTGAATTCCTAGCTGTTAGTTTAGTCTGGAATGTATCTATATCAACTTCATCTACAGTAGATTCTAATGTTATCATTTCAGCTGGGATCTATAGTAAAAGGAATATAATTTAAACAAAGTTTAAATGAAGAATTTAAATTATAACTCTACCTTTTCTAAAAGCATTTTCACTTCAGCTTCTTTACGTTGCTTCTTTGTTTGGAATGGATTTCTTTCCAATGCATCAAAATTAGGTTCACCAGATCCTTAGCATTAATTGTTAAAAATTAATAATATATACTTAATTATATGCTCAAATAGTATGATATCTATTTAATACTTATAAATAATTCTTACCTGGTACTAGTAAGCTAGAAAAACCACCATCATGTCCGGCTCCAAGAACATCTTCAAATGGACAAAACGCTAAATTATTTATCGTTCTAGCAATATTATGTCTGAGATAAGCATGTTTTATAGTTTTTGTACAACATTCTTCGTATACCTAGATTATTAGATTATCAATTCAATTTTTATGAACATCAAAATAGTTAAAATATAATACTTACATCAACCACATTATTGATAGCCACTGCTAAACATCCAGTTTGACTGAATACCATACTCCTTGGGCTAGTTCTAACTTTGTAATCTTGTAATGGCCCTTTTAATCTGCGTAAATCCCAAATTTTAATACTTCTATCCATCCCAGAAGTGGCCATATACCTAAATCAATAAAATTAATTTTAAATTATAAATAATTATAGTGAATTATAATAAGATTATTCTTACATTCCATTAGAATTTATAGCAAGTGATGTAATCATATTTCCATGACAAAGTATTTTAGCGACAGGTTCCCGAAGATTAGGACTCCACATTGAGACAACACCTAAAATCAAACAAGATTAGGTATTATTTAATTAAAAAAAAAAAAGTGTAAAATGACCTTTTGTATGTCCTAAGCAAATCAATGCATTATTTGGATTTTGAGTCATGAGGCTCAATCGACCCATTTTGGCATTAAATTGTGTTATTAATTTTCCCATTGATACATCCAACCAAGATAAAAATCCTTCTTCACTCTATAAAATATGAGTAGAAATTAAATCCATTATGATTTTAAATATTAAATAATTATTGCACACATAACGTCAAACTTACAGCAGTAGATAAAAGAAAATGATATGGGAGAAATTCCTGGTGTAAAACATTGTTTAAAGTTTTCAAGCAATGTACTTCTACACCTTGATTGTCGTATATATAGACCCACTTTTTTTGTGCAACCGAAAAAAGATTTTCATTGTGAAGCCACCTATAAATAATCAAAATAAGTGGTAATTTGTGATAACAATATGATTTTTAGTGAACTTAAGGGTACCTCATTCACGTGTTTTTTCTGTCTTACTTACATAGAACAAGGCATATTTGCATTTATCAAAATCCATCCGTTTTATGTTATTAATTTTAACATAAAATTATGTTTATATATTATTAAACTTAAAGGTAAAAATAATATCTAAGGAATCACATCGGCTTTTTATGAAATTTTCAAGTTATAGCTAGCAAAATATTATTACTTTAATACACATTTAACATGCCCGAGATAATACTCTTACCTTTAAATTTTATACATTAGTAAGATAGAAATAACACGTGAGTAAGACATTTTCTTAACCAATGATAATTTAAAATAGTTTAAAAAAAATATTTATGGTAACTATTAACTAACTTGACATCATATACTTCTTCCATAACATTTATTTCACACATCAGATGTTTTGTAACCCAGTCCATAGCAGCAACATGGCCTTTCCGTCCACCAATTAATAATTGCCGACCATTTAATGAGTAATCAATACTATAGCAATACATATATTTTAATTATATTTATATTGTATTTAAAAACATGATATAATAAACTTACTCGTATGGACCAAAATCAAGTTGTAAATCAAAATGTTTCTTAGCACTAGTTACATCGACTGAATTTGATAGTTGTGTTTGTGTAATTTTTGTTGTTTTCTCTCCGGGTTCAGCAATGATATAACTTTAAAGAAAAACCAAAATTAAATTTAAAATAAATAAGTTGAATTTTAAATTTTAATCAAATTAAAACAAAAACAATCAAATATAATATGCATAAATAATTAAGTCGTTAATTACCCAGAATTTTCAGGCAACAATACATTTGCTGCTTCTGATATTTTAGCTGCTAATTTATTTTTGGTTTCACCAATTATTCGGCGTTGGTGAACTTTCCCCATCTAAAAAAAAATATTGTTAAATAATTAATTAAAGAAAACAATTAAAATACTACAAATGAATAAAAAATGTTAAACACAAATAATCTAAATAATAGTAGTTTTAGGAAGACAAATTTGTTTTTGAAACACTTAATTTGATCCTAAACTAAACAATTATTCAAGTCTTTAAAGTGTCTTACCTTAAAAATTGAGATTTGATTTTTATTGTTGAAAATCACACTGATAATATATTAAAACCGGCCATTCATATGTCCAGTGTATATAAAATGGATATTGGATAACTAAATACTAAATATGAGTAGAGAAACAAGCAGTAAACACCAAGGTGTAAGAGTTAACAAGAAACATTTAACATGAGTACAACAGATACGGATACAGATGGTCACATGGTGAATCCGTAAGTTTGATATCAAATAATTATCAATGATACAGTTATTATCACTATCATGGAAGAAAAATATTAAATCCATTCGACTTGGAATTAATAATACATTATCATCATACAACACTTTAAAAAAAATAGTGTTCTATATTATCAATTCATCGTCGAATTTAATGCTGACATTTAAATTTTTATTTATTATTTAATATTACAATATTAGGTTATAAGTTATAACTTATAACCTAAGCGCAACTAGAGGGGGATTTAGTCTCGCAAATATACTAATAGCCTCCTCAAAATAAGTAATACGGGTTACTTCGGCCAGGGCCGTAGCTACGAGAGGTTTAGGGGGTTCAACTCCCCATTGATTCAGTTAATATATTTTGAATGACCTTTTTTAATTTTTTTTTTTTTTTTGCTTGTTATACCATTCCTGATATATAACTAAACCTAAACTCCCTTTTTCCCATTCAAAAGTTCTAGCTATGACATTGCTTTCGGTATAATATTAAGATGGGTCTATAGCCCCACTAGGATACTGTGTTAGTTGCTTGCATCATTGCTTATAACAGAATAACATATTATTATTTATTACTACTCATTTATAGATTAATTTCAAAATAAGATATAATGGCTTGAGTTAGAAGTGCTTTTTTAAAAGTTGTTCGAATTTTTTAATTTTCTATATTGATATTGTTAAGTAAAATGTATAAAATATAAATACATATAGGTACTGTCGTACTGACATCCTTAAGAATTCTTTAATTTAAGTATATTTATTACAAGTGTTAAAATTACTAAGTACAAAAAATAAATCATAATTATCGACTAACAAGTTATATTAAAAACTTACTATATTACGATTCTTAGCAGTGGCGTATTTTCAATTTTTTTTTTTTTTTTGGGAGGGGGTCTAAATATTAAGTACCTATAAGTTTATAATATAAAAAACACATACGAGTTATGATGTAGTTAAACCCAAGTTATTTATGACTTTTTAAATATTTTTCTGGATGGAGGGGTTCGAGACCCGGGAACACCCCCCGTAAATACGCTACTGATTCTTAGTATCTAAATTTTTTTTTTATTATTTTATTTGTAGGGGGAAAGAGGTTGAAAAAAATGTAACAAATTAAATTGTTTCAAATGAATTTGTTTTAAATAATTGTTTTTATTTTAATCATACATAAATACATTAAATATATTTAAGTTTATACAATAGGCCGTCATGCCATACTCGAACAAAAGTATGCGAAATGTCTAAGAATTCACGAGTGTAATACAGTTATTTTTCCAGCAAATACAAAATGATATACATGGACTAGGTATGACTTTGTGGACTTGTTGAGTGAGACGCGCAAAAGCCGAATCGGGTATCTGGAAGAATATTGTTTTGTATGATCATGGGTAGAACGTGTTAAAAAATGAATCGTTTAAGCATTCTGACGAAAATAGGGAGACGGCTTATTGGTCGGTGAGATAATGGGAACAAATTATAGATGAGAATTTCCAAAAAAGAGGGAAATTTGAAAGCCTTAGTGTTGCATTATATATGTAAGTGATATGGAGTGTGGACGATAGCTCTTTTTGGAAAGCATCATCTAGCTACTTCCGCAGTAACGCGATCATAGCCCGGTGATTTATTTAGTGAATATTTTTGCATAGCATATTATTTTATATAATTATTAATTTGGTGTAAATAACTGGGCAGGAAGAGAAAGAGGAAGTGGATTTTACCATCGGTGGAATTTACAATCGCCTAGAAATCGTACTCAGTTTATAAAAACTATGTGTACACACATATACACATTCATACATTATGATTTATGTGTATATATAAGATACACAAATACGTAGTTATAAATTGCTTTGATTATTTTAACGTCCAACTCATAGGCGATGATGGTTGGGGAGGGGCTTGAAGGGGCAGAATGGATTTTTAACAAAATATTTAGTTACTATTTATTATGGTCGTAATGATGTATTATAGTTATAACGTGTTCTATTTATACACTCGATAAATAATTTTTGTGTAGCTGTATATAGATATTTACCACGAATAGACAAAAGCAAGTGCCAAGTAGGTACCAATATCCTGCAGTACATTTTCGTGTTATAGTACTAACTACTATATCATGAATAGAACTCAGTGCTTCATTACTCAATAAGATAAAGTACTTTGTAGTGCGCGTCACTGGCACGACAGATAATATACGAGTTTTAAATTTTATATTTGGCGCGAAACATTTTGGTCACCACCAACGAGAAATGGTCACTGGGCACGTGGTGGTCATCCGCACGTTTTCGTGAAGCGTACTTAATACTTATATTATATAATATATGATTACAAATTACAATTTAGTGAATTTACAATTAAATTATATTACACTGAACAATATAATCGTAATTGTATCTGTTTATTCTGTTTTAAAAAAACTCATAGGTAGGTGCGGACTGGCCAGGGAGGCGAGGGGGCAATTGTCTCCCGGGCCCTCGATTATATCATACTAGTAAAAATTATTTAAAATACATAATATTAAACGAAAAATAAGTTGTATTTTATAAGTTAGGTATACGTTTATAGTGTATAAATTGTGTAGTTATCTTAAATAATTATCAACCTGCACCGCAATTCGTTACGATTATACAAAACTTAAACTGAACTCGATCACTGTTGATGTATTTTTGAATTATAAAAATACATATAATTAATTAAAATTAAATTTACAGTATAACGTGTACAATATTTATTTTGGCTCTTTTATTCCACTAGTTGACCACTACTAAGGTTAGTATAATTAATAGATTCCTCAGATTCGTTTAAAAATGATCTGACAAGTTGTAAAGAAAATGGATATTGTTTTCCTTGTGCCTTTCTATTCTATACGATTATAATTTTCATTCATCTATATGTAGAGTGCACAAAGTCGCTTTAACTTTATCTTGTACTCAAGTATACTGTGAAAGAGCTTTCTCAAAGTTAAAAATAATCAAAAACCGTTTGAAAGCATCAATAGGTCAGAATTAAAGTACAGGAGTCACTAATGCTAATAAGTATTGAATCTGACTTTTACCTGATTCTATGATATCATAGATAACATTGGAAAAATAACGAAGCCTAAGTAAATTATTAATTTTTAAAATGAAGTTTAATTTAAATTTGTATTTTAAATAAACTGTTCATATTTCATATTTGTATAACTTTTAAACATTAATTAAATTAGCATTATAATTATCATCTAATATATATCTTTAATTTAAATATATGTTACGGTAAATGATGTTAGTGAAATTAACGTTATTCACCGGTTATTAACGTTGTTATTTACCAAATATACAGGTAATTATCGTTATAAACTGGATAATCACGTTGTGACCAAATACACAGGTAATTGATGTTATAAATCAGATAAGCGCAGATCTCAAATACTACAATTTGAAAATGTATGCAGAAATTACCCAGATATTTTAAAATAGAATAAGCAATACGTAACC